CGGGCTGTCACCCGCCCCGGCGTCTTCTGCCCGCCGCCGGGGCCGGGGCAGGGGGGGCGGGAGCGGGCAGCGGGCAGCGGGCAGCGGGCAGCGGGCAGCGGGCGCAGGGGGCGTCCCCGCGCGATCTGTCCATGGTGCTGACAGCGTCGCCGCAGCCTCGAGGTCCCAAACAACCGGTTCCTGCAGCGCCGGGGCTGCTTGAAATGCAAGGCGCGCCTTTCGGCGAGGAGGGAGGGTGTGGGGGGGAGGTCTTCAAAGAAGTCGATTTTGTCTTTTTCTGCCCTTTTTTGGTTTTTTTTTTCTTTTTGTTTGGGGGGGGGGCAGAAATACACATAGAATCGAAATGAAGGTCTGACTCTGAGGACTGCAGGATAACAGGAGAGGAAAGGGGACGCAGCACGAAAGGAGACTGCAATATTTTAAGGGAGGCAGTAGATTTAGCCATCCAGTACTTGGTCTGAATGCAATAATTACGCATGCACGGGTAGGTGTTTATTGTATCTATACATGCATATATACAAACATGCATAACCCAAACACATGTATGTCCATTCACAAACACCCCTTTACTCTTCTGCAAGGTGCCTGTTATTTCCCTCTTTGCAATCAAGTAAAGGAAGCCTGTTTTATTCCCACTTTGGGGAAACTTCTCACTTCTGTTCCTATTTACAGACAATTTTTAAGCTAAGTGTAAACCTGATGCTTGGTGTCCTCATGTCCTATCCATTGTGGTTGTTTTCCTTCTTTTTATTCTATTCTTCCTCATCCATCTTCCCCCCCCCCCCCCCCCCCCCCCCCAAATCCTGTTCTCAGTCTGTTTTAGCCCAGAAAAACACACACATGTATTTGATAATAAGTGATCTTACCTTGGGTAGAAAGTCCTTGTTGAATATACATAACTGAAAAGAAAATGAATCCAACATAAGCTAGAAAGATCCCCATCATTCCAAGACGAAGAAGAAGTCACATCAGGGTAACAAAAGCCAAAGGTACCCTCAAAAAAGGAAGAACTGATAAATGAGTGTATGTATGTATCTCTAAATATATAAACAGAAAGAGATTTTAAAATGTTACAAAAAGGCTCTGTATTGTAGCCCTAGCTGCGACACTGGCAGCATTCTGCTACTCAGTGGAGTCTTTTTCTTTGGGAAGAGCGAGTATTGCAATACAGTGTGGTTCAGATAAGCTGTCTCAGGCGCTGTGTTGCTTGAAGTCCAGATTCAGACTAAAAAAAAAAAAAAATCATTGAAAAGTGGGTATCAGCTGCCTTCTGTGCCTTTTTTCAGCTACCTGGCAGCTTCGTCCAACGTCAGCTCTCACTGCTCAGGATGGCGTGATGACTGCCCTCCCTACACACTGATCCAGC